AATCTCTACAGTGTGGGAGTAGGCCATTCAGCCCATCCCCACCCTCCAAAGAGCACCCCACTCAGTTCCACCCCATCCCTATAATCCTGCATTTCCCACAACTAATTCATCCAACCTACACATCCTGGACAATACAGGCAATTTCCCATGGCCAATCCGCCCTAACCTGCACATCTTTGGACTGTGGGAAGAAACTGCAGCACCCAGAGGAAACTCACGCAGACACGGGGAGAATGTACAAACTCCACACAGACAGGCACCTAAGGGTGGGATTGACCCTGGGACCCTGCTGCTGTGAGGCAGCAGTGCTAACCACGGAGACACTATGCCAGACCTCATTCATCTGCTGGGACAGTGGGGCAACAAGACTCCGCCACCTTCCTCAGACCACCGCAACCTCTTTCACTGCAGCTTTACTGGTGTTTCACTCCTGAATGTCCTCCTTAAATGTACTTTGCCAAGTCCTTTTTGGCCAGCCTTGTCTTCTTTTCCCATCTGGTGGTGCCCATCCAACTGGCACTGTGGCAGGGTATACATTTGTGAAATACCCACACAGTCAACCTCTGTCCCCTCTCTATCACACTGTCCTTTAGGCATCTCTGCCCAGTCCTGTGTACCTCTTCTTCATTGGTGCTGTAATCTCCCCAAGTGATGCCCAGGATCTATTTGACAGTTTCTGGAGGAAGGTGCCCAACTTATACGACACTTTTGCTGTTGGTGGCTCAGTGGTTAGCTCTGCTGCCTCACAGCGCCAGGAACCTGGGTTCGATTCCACCCTCAGGCGACCTTCTGTGTGGAGGTTGCACATTCTCCCCGTGTCTGTGTGAGTTTTCTCTGGGAGCTCTGGTTTTCTCCCACAGTCCAAAGATGTGCAGGCTAGGTGGCTTGGCCATGTTAAATATGGAGCTATGGGGATTAGGTAGGAGACTGGGTTTGGGCAGGACAGTCTTCAGAGGGTTGGTACAAACTCATTGGGCCAAATGGCCTCTTTCCACACTGTAGGGCTCTATTGTTCTGTTCTTCTCCATGTCTCACTGGATTGTAGTTGGTACTACAATGGGCATGTAGCTCCATGGCTGTGTTCTTAGTGTTGGATGTCCATACTGAGTGTGGTCACTGGAAAACTGACTGGACACAGAATTAGCTTTACCGATTGGAATTAAATCTCAATGTTCCCTTTCCTGGAGATGTTTCTCCAAGGAGGGCAAGTGATCAATGTCCTGAATGTTGTCTGGTGGTGATGCGGTAGCAGATCAGCAAGGGCCTTGTTGCTATCCTCGTCACTGTTATGGTGTCTTCTCGCAGCCAATATGTAGACCACCCTTGGCAGCACTCCTCTCAAGACTGCTGATCATGTCTTGGAGTGTGCATGGGTTCTTAAGCCAGCGAAGCGATGTCTCTACGGAATCAAGGTCCATCAACCTAGTGGCATGCACACTACTTAACCCTTTTTAAAAAAAAATCTGCTGAGGTTTCTGATTGGCTGCTATGCTTTCCCACATTACAAAAGGGACTACACTTCAAAGCGCTTCATTGGCTGTAAAATGCTTTGGAATGCCCTGAGGTATTGAAAGGCACTATACAAATGTAACTTCATTCTTTCCCTTTTTCATTCTCACGTTGCATCATTCCCATTGATACCTGCATTCTCTCAGGGTGAGATTGGCAACTGGCACTCCCTGTGGCATTGTCTGCTCTTTGGATTGAGTCAGTTTCCAAAGGGACCAGACTTTGACCCTACGAGCGTAAAAATGCTGTAAAACCATTACTTGCAAATGATCAGATCTCTCAACATTGTTCCCAAGTTCCAACAACAACACAGACTCACAGAATTGCAGGTAGCAGGATGAAGGTATCTGGTAGCATAAACACAGAGAGCTGATGCTGTGTGCTGCTTTTCCAATCCATCTGCTTGGACATGTCATGACACATCTCTGTACCCTTAACATCTTCAGGTCCAGAGGTAATGGCACTACCACTGCACTCTTATGTGCTCAGTGTCACTGCATACCTTCCTAATAAAGAGAAACCCAGGGGAATTTCTAGGAAAAAGTGTCCTGCTCCTTGTAAAGATCGTGCCAGTTGCCAATCTCACCCTGAGAGAATGCCAGGTATCAAATGGCCCGAGAACACGACCAAGTTTGGCTGTGATGATAAAAGTGGCTTAATTTGAAATTGAGATCAGGTCCTGTATCTGAATGCATTACTGTGACCCCTTGTACTGTTATCCTCTGCTGAATATAATGTGAAATTACCCACTTAGCTGAGAGAAACAAGAATGCAGAGTATTTCTTAACTGGGGAGAGTGTGGAAAGTATTGATGTGCAAAGGGCATTCTTGCTCATAATTCACAGAAAGCTAGCATGCAGGTGCAGCAATAAAAAGGAAAGCAAATAGTATGTTGGTCTTTATTGCGAGAGGATTGAAGTACATCTTTCTCCAGGTGTCTTGCTGTAGCCAGCGACCGTACCTGGAGTACTGTGCACAGTTTTGGCCTCCTTACCTAAGGAGCTGTCTCATTAAGCAACTGGTGGTGGTTTAACCCAAGGGTCACCTTGCCTCAAGCAAGGGAGAGGTTGGCAAAAGGAGGCTGTTGTAGTCGGTTAGCTCAGTTGGCTGGATGGCTGGTTTAGGATACAAAGTGATTCCAACAGTGCGGGTTCAGTATGCGGATAAACTGCACATAAACCAATGCTTTCCCAGCTACCACCAGTTCTGAGGAAGGGTGATCGGACCCGAAACGTTAACTCTTGATTTTTTTTCTTCGCAGATGATGCCAGACCTGCTGAGCTTTTCCAGCAACTTTTGTTTTTGTTTCTGATTTATAGTTTCCGCAGTTCTTTTGGTTTTTACGGTCATTTACATGGTGTGTTCTTGAAAACTTTAATCTTATTGAGTATTAATAATACAGACAGCAAGTGCTGATAGTACTTATCAGGTCAGGCAGTATCTGAGGAGAGATAAAGAAATATTCATGTCTATGACCTTCCAATTTGCAAACACGCCTCCCATCTAGTGACTCCACCTACACTTCCTACTGCCTCGGGAAAGCATCCAACACAATCAAAGACCCCTCCCACCCCAGTTATGCTCTCTTCCACCCTCTTCAATTATGCAGGACATATAAAAGTTTGAATACACATACGAACATTTCAAGAACAACTTCTTCCCCGCTGTTATCAGACTTTTGAATGGACCTCTCAAAATATTAATGCCGATCTCTCTCTCTGCACCGTAACACTGTAATCTGCTCTCTGTTCTGCTACCCTGATGCACTTTGTATGGCACTACCTGCCCATATAGCACGCAGAACACCACTTTTCACTGTATCTCGGTACATGTGACGACAATAAATCAATTAATCAATCAATTCCAGCACGTCCAGTAATTGTGTTTGCTCCCTAAGCATTTGTCGGTGAAATCAGTAAATGAGAAACAGCGTATGAGTTAATTATCATGGCGGTTTTAGTGCCAAGGTTGTTGATTGGTGATGGAGGAGAGTTAAGTGACTGCGCTTGTATGAGGGACATTTAATTGCGTTGTGCGTGATGCTTTTTCTACTGAAACCAGTCAGTGTGGCTAAAAACAGTGTCTGGTTCACTCTGCTTAATGCTACAATCCACTTTTGCCCAACACTGTATTCAGGCAGAACTTGCTGCGATGATGAAGGAGATGCATCATGTTGTTAATCTTCAGGACTTTGGTGTCAATCCCAGTAGGAACTTTAATGCTGGAGATTTGCCACCATCACGATTCATGGCCTGGGAGATTGTATGACTTCTCTCTCTGTGACATTTACTTCTGTGCAACATGTTTTTGGAATGATGCAGTTACTACTGATGCAAAAAACAACCAGTTCTTCACTGCAATGTTGCACTGTTCCAGCTATTCTCTCCAATCATACCTCAACTCATAAGGATATAATCTAGAACTATCCTAAATGTCTTCTCCTTAGGGTTACACTGGCAATAAAATCCAGTCACAAATTCACAACCTAAACCTGTACACTGCCTGCAAGGCAGACAGAGGTTAGAGTTCAAGAATCCCTTGAAGACAAAACTCAGGCATATCTAGCGTGGACTGGGAGGAAAAATACACGAGAAAGAAATACTAGGGGGCATTTATTATATTCAAGGTGGCAGAGATAGACAGATCAGTAAGGGAATCAAAAATAAAAGTTGCTGGAAAAGCTCAGCAGGTCTAATAGCAGCTGTGGAGAGAAATCAGAGTTAATGTTTTGGGGTCAAGTGACCCTTCCTCAGAACTGAGGACAGTCAAGAAAGTAGAGTTGAAGATTATCAGATCAGCCATGATCTCATTGAATGTTGGAACAGACTCGATGGGCTGAATGGCCTACTTCTGCTCCTATGTCCTTATTCTCAAGGAATGAAATGTTTCCTTCGAATTGTAAGATGTGCTGACTACTAAAGACAAGAGCCAAACTGAAACGATTGGACAGTCTCTACAAAATTGGCTAATTAATCCTGCCCACAACTGTAATTGGGCTCCACGCCCATGTTCAACACTTACACAGGCTACGCTTCAATCCACTGGAGTTTTGAAGAGTTAGAGAGTGATCCACCAGGGTGGATGTGAAGAGGATTTTCCCTGTTGTGGGAGAATCTAGAATTAGGGGTCAGAGTTTAAAGATCAGGAGTTTAAAACAGAGACGAAGAGAATTTTATTCTCTCAGAGGGGTGCGAGTCTTTGGAACTTCTTGAAAAGGTGGGGACAGTAGAGTCTTCGAACATTTATGAGGCAGAGGTAGATAGATTCTTGTTAAGCAAAGAGGGTGAAAGGTTACTGGGGTTAGGCAGGAGTTTGAAGTCTCAATCAGATCAGTCATGATCATATTAAATGCTTGAGTAGATTCAAGGGGCTGACCGAGCTGTTCCTGCCTCCTCATTTGTATGTTTATATATAACACACAACAGATTTAGAGATTGGTTTGATATTTATTTAGTTGTATGTCCTGACAACATCCAACTTCCATTTTCCAGGTTCATCTTGATACAGAGTGGGCCCGGGACCAGATTTGGACAGGGTTTGGGTCGAGGTTCCTTCTGTTGCTTTCGTTCTGACACTGTTAGCAGAATGAGAGTGGCACTTGGCTATGCGCTGGTATCTGTTTGTGCCCTACTACTCAACACAAGGGTCTGCCACGCCATTCGATGGCTGTAAGTATCTCTGTGCATGCGTTTGTGTGGTGCGTGTTACATATGTATGTATATGTGTGCAATATTAGTGTTGTGATATGTGTTTATAGGTTGTGTCATGTGTGTATGCCCATGAATGGTGTACATGATTAATATGCACATATGTGTGCCCATACAGGGTCTATGGTCATTTGTGTGTTTCGATTCTGTGTTTATAATGTTTTGGTTAACTGACAGCTACAGATTGAGAATTCTTACATCCCAAGTGTCATTACCCAAACCCTCCTTGATAGAACTATGCCAAAATTCAAAGAATAATTCACAGCCCAATGACCATTTCCATTTGGAAGGACAGTGGGAGCAGATACATGGAAACACCACCTCCTGCAATGTCCCCTCCAAGCCACTCACCGTCCTGACTTGGAAATGTATCGCCGTTCCCTCACTGTTGCTGGGTCAATATCCTGGAATTCCCTCCCTGAGGACATTGTGGGTCAACCCACAGCACGTGAACTGTAGCAGTTCAAGAAGGCAGCTCACCCCCACCTTCACAAGGGGCAACTAGGGATGGGCAATAGATGCTGGCCCAGCGAATGATGCCCACAGTCCATGGGTAAATAAAATAAAGACTCAAATGGGAATTTGACTGGGTGTGTGTCCTGTGACTCCCCCTGTTATGACAGAATTACGCTGATTGCTCTCCCAGTTCGACCCTCCCACCCCCTCCTCACCACCACTCCCCTTCAGTACCCTTGACCCAATTCTTTTGTGTGAGGTGACAATTACTCCTGGCCATCTGTGACAAGCACTTTGTACTCAGAGCATGTAGCTCCATCTGTTTGATTTGAGGCTGCTTTTCTGAACAACACTGCAGCTAGGCGCAGGGCTGCAGCGCAATATTGTCTGGCAATTAATTAGATCTCTTCTTATCGAAACCAGGGACTCTTCTACCAGAGATAACACAGTGTGGAGCTGAAGGAACACAGCAGGCCGGGCAGCATCAGAGGAGCAGGAAAGTTGACGTTTCAAGG